AGTTACACATTGACTCAACTAATAAGCCCCTAAATGACCTCAAAACAAACTGAAGTTCAAGAGAAATAAAGTAGTAAGTCCTGAGGACTTAACATCTAGTAAGGGGCAGTGCCAAGTGTTTGAACTCAGTCAGAGTTCCTCTGGTTGTACAGTCCGTACTTAATTAACTGCTCTCCTATTCTGTTTCTGCTATAGTTCTGTTGTTACAGCTGTGGGTAATACAGGTTTACTTTCATTCCCATTTATACCATTTGATGCTTACAGTTTTTATAAGATTTATAGTTGAAATAGTTGGTAAATTCACATTATACGTCCTCGAGCCAAATTTTACTACCTAACAGCTCTGAAATGCTCTCATCTTGTATTGTAGAGAGCCTCAAAATACTATTTTTACATTTCACTATTGTTTTTAAGTCATTCTATTTGTAAAAGTGACTTATTTTGCTTCCTTTTAGTACACATACCAGTATGAAGAATGCTGACTTGATTCCATCTCCATCCTGGTTATTTTAATTTTTCCTTGATTTAATTTCTGTTAAGTTTGGGTACTCTGTTTACCTAGATACAATACGGAGGGGTTTCTCGTATTATAAACTAGACATTTTAAAAATCATTATTAGCCAATGGGCAGTAGTATAATACTTTTATCATTCCACTGTAGCAGGATAACAGTCCTGCTTTCCACATTCAAAATTGGAGAATCCAGTGGAACTTTAAATCCATTCCATGAATGAGAAGCTGATTAATCATTTTCTAAAAATAAGAATCAGCTTTAGCATCCTTGCCTTTAATTTTTCCCTGAAAGTACTCATAATTTGTTTATCCTCTTCTATAACTGACACAAATTGAAAATTAAATACTCCCCATCTATTCATGGTTTTGTGGTCTGTCTTCCATAAGTTGTTGAATTATGCTTCTTCATGAGTTCCCATGCTTTGTTAGATAGCTCAAAGCAGTGGTCATACTGGTATGGTATATCCCTATCCCTACAGGTATATAGCAACAAGTATTTGTGAAATATTTCAAGTGTTTCTCTTCATCAACTCTTAGTCCTTGAATAAGTACTGTTTCTACTTCTTTTCCTACCTACCCTTAACACACCTGAATATTTCAAAGTGAAAAATAGCAAGCAGACAAGAATCTTTGACATGAAGGTACAAGGTCTTTTCTTCTTTGAAACATGGCTGGCACACAGCAGGTGCTTTACATTTAATTTACTAAAAGAAAGGATTGGTGCCTACCCTTGTTTAATATTTTAAATGTCTCTCTGTATATATGTGAAATGTGTTACAAGCTCTAGTATCTTACAGTTATATGTAAATGTCTAGATGATACTACCATGTGTCTCCTCTAGTCCCAACACTCCCCTCTACACCCCTCCCTATTCCCCTCACCCCTGCCCTCCAGTGTTTTGCCAAAGTTATGGTTAATCAAACATTTTTTAAAAGATTTATTTTTTTTAAGATTTATTTATTTATTTATACAAGCACAGGGTAATTCACCAGAGCGGGGAACAGAATGGGAAGACTGACTGAAATACACTGCTGAGGGGAGCAGGGAGCGCAGCAGGAGAGGTCTGAGCGCCATGTGGGACCCTCGCTGGGGATCCGGGGATTGGGGATCGAGGATCGAAGGGGCACTGCAGAGGCTGCGGGCAGCTTCGCAGCCCAGCGCTCAACCGCTGCGCCACTGGGGAGGCCCAAGATTTATTTATTTATGCATACAAGAACTGGAGTACAGGCCAGAGGCATGCAGGGTGAGAGGATTCACCAGAGACAGAGTGGGGAAGAGAACAAGCAGATTGAATGAAATACACTGCTGAGGGGAGCAGCAGGTGAGTCAGGAGAGGTCTGCTGTGCCATGTGGGTAGCTCCCTGGCCGGGGGTCAAATTCATGCTGCAGTAGCTGTGGATAGCTTCATAGGTGTCTTAACTCCTTGTGCCACCAAGGAGGCCCACAAACATTTTTAAATTCTGGAGTTCAAGAGTAATTCATTTCATTTTGGTGGGGGATTATATTCATATAACAACTGACTATATATCTTTTTCTATTCCTGTTTACATCTTTTTTCTAAATGCTCAATTTGCTGTTTTGCTGTGCCCATGTTTTCTTCTGCATATGGCCTCTAGACTACCAGTTTGTACCTTCCTATAGGTCTTAAGATTCTCGCCCCTCTAACCAGCATCCCTTTGGAGCATCTGGTGGCAAGGGGATATATCCCTAAGATTTAAGACTTACTATCACCACCAGTAAATGTTTACTGATAACCTTACCTAGCTAATAAGAAAGTCTATTGAAGCTCAATTTTTAAAACAACTTTGTAGTCCTTGTCTTTTCTTTGTTTTTTATTTGTTTCCTTGCCACCTTTTCAACTATGACTCCAACTGCTGGCCTCATTTTTTTTATGTTTAAGATTACTCAGGAGGCTTTCTATTGTTTAAAATCGGATAGTGTGAGGAACAACAGCTGACATAGAATGCATAAGTAAAGGTGATTACTGCTTAAAAATAAAAAACAAACAGACTGGGTATGAGACTCAGGAATTTATATAAACACCAATGAGATAAATAGTATGATTTTAAAATCGAGTTCAGGTTTTTGTAAACCTTCATAGTTTTCACAAAATTTGGTAGGGGTAGGGTGGGACAGCAGACTGGATTTTGGTTATGGGAAGAATTAAGAAGGAAGTAGCACAATATGTAAATATGAAAAGCAAACATTAAAAAGCCAAATATGCATTAAAAAAAAGGTGCTAACAGAAATAGTTGCAATTTGAAACAATACATTTGCTGCAGCTGCAACAATACATGTTGCCATTACTCAACTGCATTTAGCTAGAGAGTATAAATGATCAGAATTCAGTACCATTTGTGGTTTTATTACTCAAAACTCTGTTTTATAAATTTTCTTCCTAATTTTAGTATTTGATTATTTTTGCATATTTGGAAAACAGTAGTTTTTTTTAGCACATTTACTTAAGATCAGATTGGATTACTTTTGATTTTAGGTGTGATGTAGCTATCAGTATCCCAGCAAACTTTCCACTTGATAGCAGGAAAGGAAATGATAGGAAAATCTTTGGGCATTCCATATTTGTTCTGGGATAAGTGTGTAAGTTTGTGTGTGTTTTAAAGATTTCTGTAAGAAATCAAGTTCCTTAAGATAGGAAATCAAGAGGGGGATTGTTTAGATTATTATGAAAACGCGCTTAGGGTAGCTTTTCAGTAAGGTGTCTATGCCTAATATTTGAGAATGTGTTGTCTCTGGATTTGGTATTTATTGCTCTATTTATTTTACCATGTGTTGAAGCAAAATCCTATAGGGAAGAACAAGGCAGTGTTCAGAATGGGAGGACTTAATGTGCATGAGAGTGCTGGGTGAGAACTCAGGTCTAACATCTTCATTTGTTTTGAATTACCTTTTTTTTTTTTCTTTTTTGGCCACTGCTCTAGTTTCTTCTTTTTCCTATGAAGTACTAACTTGTCTAATTCATTGTCCATATAGCTAATTTCAAGTCAGTATATAGACATGTTTTGCAGGAAAATTTATAGGGAAGATGTTACAAATTAAATATGGCAGTTGCAGGCAAATTAGAAGGTAGCTCAGAATTTCTTCAAACACTTTGAACTCACCCTTGTCTTTTCACCTCCTATTGGCCTTTATTTTCCTGCCCTTCCTTCAAGTTTTAAAAAAAAAAACCTGATTTAAAGAAAATTATTCGAAGATGCCAACCCTGGTATTCACAGCTGGGATCATTTTATTTATGAGCTTTACCAATTTTGGTATCACTTGACAAACTGGTTATGCCTTTTGAAAAAAGGAATATACACGCTTCTTGTCATTGCCAGACCATAATTTAAACTCATTATAAATGACATATACCCACTGACTTTGGTGTAGTTAATTTCTTTTCTTCACTAAAATTGTTGCTGACTTTGGGCACTGGCTCCCTACCCCTGTCTTGCAGCTTTCAGGTTCTTATTGACACTATTTAACAACAATAGGCTCCCATTTCCTTTTCTCAAAGTCTACCGTAAAATCTGTAACTTACCCCAGGGAAAATAGAAAAATAAAGCTTAGACTGGGAGTTTTCTTCTAGGTAAGCATGACTGCTTATTTCTAGAGTAGACAGAATAAAGAAATGGGACCAGTCTGATTCCTTTGGAGATATTTTTCTTTGTGGCTAAATTATGTTATTCAAATTTTGTGAATTTCCAGGAAATCAGTATATACATAAAATTTAAAATTCTGTCCAGGAAACATGTTTAAAACCAAAAACAATATTTAGCACTTTAACATCACATTTAAAAATAAAAGGAGGGCCTCCCCGGTGGCGCAGAGGTTGAGTGCTGGCTTGCGAAGCTGCCCGCAGCCTCTGCAGCGCCGGTTCGATCCCCGGCTGCTCCCGGCCACCGGAGGAGGGTCCCACATGGCACGCAGACCTCTCCTGCCGCCCACTGCTCCCCTCAGCAGTGTCCTTCGGTCTTTCTGCCTGCTCTGCTCCCTGCTCTGGCTCTGGTGGATTCTCTCACCCTCCCGCACTTCTGACTGTACCCAGTGCTTATATGAATAAATAAAAATAAATATTAAAAATAAATAAATAAATAAATCTTTAAAAAAAAAAATAAATAAAAGGAAAATAAAAAAAATTAATGTAACAAAACTCCCTAACATTCTAAGTGTTGCTCTTCTAAATCAAGTGAACTTCCAACCTAAGCATTAAAATAGGGAGAATGGAACTAAGGAGACAAATTAATTCAATATTAAATAACTTATACTTTATACATTAATTGCAGTGTGCTCACCGAAAGCTTTAAAGGACCTATATCTGTATTGGCAAAAATAGATGGCTATCATGCAAGTACCTACAACTGAAGATGATTCTAAAAGGCCCAAAAGGAACTTACTATGTAACACAGACTTTCCACTAGTGCTTTTCTATATATTCTCAAAGGTTCCAATAATCAGTCTTTATATTCATTTTACTTACAGATTTTATAAAATATTTTCAATTGGGTAAATGATCCAAAAACCTGAAGTTAGCCTCCTCAGTTGTTAGCTCAGTAAAATGTCAAAATTTTTTGTAAGTAGGATTCAAATATAACATGAATTTTTTGCGTGTCTTGGCTTTAAGTTCTAATGACTCTTTTTGGTGGTTTTCCTGTAAAAGAAATTAAAAAAATTTTCACTGTATTGCAAGTGATCAGAAAATCTGCCTTTCAGAAAAAGTCTGACATATTTCTAGAAATGAGTTTAAGAGCCCTTCGAAAGGAGTGATATGAATTATACCCCTGTTTGACTAAATAATTTTCAAAAAAGAGATGAAATTCGCATGAATTTTAATGGTAGCTGGTTCACTCTTGTTCACTTCTTGATAATTTCACTATGCTCATTTATTTAATAACTCAGGATATTAACACTGAATTGTACTCAACAAATAAATGAATTGTTCCATCCATAGTAATAGAATTATGCAGTATAACAAATTTAATCAGTCAGAACTTTAATGTACTAACTCGCTTATGGATTTCATAGCATAGGTTCGTTAACTGGAAATTGGGCTGTAGTTATGAAGAACAGCACAAGGAAAAGTATTCTAGAAGAATCTCTGTCTTAAACAACATTCACAAAACTTTACTTAGGTGTTTTCATTTAAATTTATTTAGGCTACTGCCGCAGCAGGTTGAATGCAGCACTGTGAAGCTGTCCGCAGCCTCTGCTGCGTGGGTTCGATTCCCAGCTGGCCAGGAAGATTCCCACATGGCGAGGCAGACCTCTCCTGTCGTGCCCACTGTCCCCTCAGCAGTGCTTTCGGTCTGTCCGCCTGTTCTGCTCCCCACTCTGTCTCTGGTGAATCCTCGCACCATCCCGCGCCTCAGGCCTATACCCCAGTGCTTGTATAAATAAATAAATCTTTTTAAAAATAATAATAAATAAATTTATTTAGGCTACATGTAATTAAAAAGGAAGACTCCCAACTTAAGTCAGGGCTATTTCTGTAAATATCCTTTGGATTCACGGTTTGGAACTCAGAGCATAGTAAGCATGTAAGCTGGCAGAACATACCATGTGGCGACCTTTTGTTTCAGAGTTAACTTAGAAACATCTACCTAACCTTCCATTAGAAAGTTAGTATGGTGTTAAACAACACGGGAAAATTATGAGTATTTTGTTTTATTATGTTAACCACTAGGGGGAAAAGCAACTTCACTTGAGGATAAAGAAATAAGCAGAACTTTCTGAAGACAGTAGAGTTATGGCAGTGGACAGGTTCTTCACTACATTTTAATGTTGCTTCAGACAGAACCAATAACTCCTCAAATACAAAGCAGTATTTTTTAACTATGATTAGCTTCATAACTTGATTCAAGCTGTAATAAAAGAAGGAAATGAGGAGTGGGAAAGTGGATGGAATTTTCGAGTAAGCCTGGATAAAAAAGCAAGGAAAACAGGAGTATGGGAGCTGCAGATGGGCTTGTATCTGAGAAAAAATAAGGGTGCCGGAGCAGAAATTGAATTGTTACCCATAAACGAGGAAAAGTATGAGAACACATTTACTTTACCTCTCTTCTTTGCCCTCAGAAGGATAGTGTCAGAAAAGAGCTATTATAGATCATTTCTGGGCTAGTTAGTAATATATTAAAGACAACTTGCAAAAGGAAACATTTTTACTGGCCTTTTGTAAGACAAATAATTATAACTTACGTATCTGTCCAATTAATAATCCAGAATATTACATTTCACATATGTAAAATGTGAAATATGTAAAATGTGAAATGTTGCTTTCTAAAATCATCAGATTCTTGGAGAAAGGTACATTAACTGTCAATATAACAAATGTTAAAATGGCTTCTATCCACACAAACTTCATGGCAGGTCTAAAGACCAAATTAGCTCATTAAACACAGATGGAGATTAAATCAGAAAGGAGTTAGAAAGGGCTTTATGAGTTTGAGGTAGGCCTTGAAAAACTGTAATTTCAAAAAGTGGACAAAATAGGGGAGGGAAAGGCATTGTTCAGAAAGAAGCTACAACATGAACCAAGAGATGGCTGTGAAAAAGAAAATAGTTGGTGGAGAATATGTGACTATTATGGGAAATAAAATTGCATCAACTAAGTGAGAGCCCAGATTATGAGAACTTTGTAAGCCAAATTTTGTATTTATCCACTTGACTTAGTAGACAATAAAGAGGTGTTTAAAAAGTGGATCCGCCTAGTGATGAAGAACTCTTCAGTATCTGCTGAATGATTGTGGTGAAAGACCTCTCTCTCCAAAATTCTGTAGTCTAGCTTCACTTATAGCCAGGTTAATATACTGGGTCAGTGACAAGATGAAGCAAAAAGGGAAGACTCAGGTAAACAAAGATACACAGAATAGCCAGGACATATGTGAATAAGGATTGGCACAAGGAGACAATAACAACGTTTGGTGTTTTATACAACAGGATAAGTATTTATTGCTTGTCAAGATCATTGTATATTTAAACTATTTGCCAAACTTGTCTAATTGTAAGATAACTGGAACCCTGGTCAAAATACCTCCTAAAATAAGGCCTAGGCAAGGCCTAGGAAACTATTTTTAAGTAGGTGTTTGATCACCGTTCAGCTATTAAATCTGCTTTCTTTATTTTCATTTCAGATTTGCCCAATATGTGCAGCATTACCTGGAGGCGATCCTAATCATGTCACAGATGACTTTGCAGCTCACCTTACACTTGAACACAGAGCCCCTAGAGATTTAATATCCTTTTAAGAGGCAACAAGGGAATTGTTTGTAATGTTTGTCATTTTGATTATTTTTAAGGACAGTATCCCCAAAGAGAAAACTAGTCTCTAAATTATTTTATTTTACCTTTTCCCAAAAGTAACTCGGTGTTGAGATGCAGTTTTTTGTTTCTTTTTTTATATGTTCTTACTGTTACATGAACCATGCTCATTAAATGAAAGTTGACTTGCTCATCATCTTTAATTCATTATAATCAGATTTTTAAAAGACATTTCCAGCAGGTAATAAGTCTCCAGGATAGTGTTTTCATATAAAAGAGGAAAATGCTAACCAAATTAAAATCTAATTAATTAAACATACGGATTTATTTCTTTTCCCTCCTGTTCCCTATTTGCTGTGTCCTGCTGTAGATGGGATATAGTGGGAGGGTAGACAGTTGTGTCTGTCCTCGAGACACAGTCTCTGAGCAGGTTAGCATTAGGTCAGGTCCAGCTCTAAATTCCTTTCCCACTTTCATTTCTGCTTCCCCTTCCAAAGTCTATCTCTGGACAGTTCCTTCCTTGTTCCCATAGTCTCTAAGATATCACTGGCCCACTTGAGCAATTAATTTTAAGTAGGCTCAGTACTCCTGGTTTCAACTTATATATTGTTTCTCTGAAACTGTTACCTATTAACTTAGGGTTCTGTTCATGTAAATTTTACAGTGTTTATTGCAGATAGAAGCAGTTCAAGAGCTAATCAGAACTTTTTTCCCTAACAATTTATTCTGATTCCTTTGATTGTCTCCTACCAAACATAATTCAACCCTAGACCTATTGAAAAAGAAACTAGCTTGATGATTTTCTTGTCTTAAAACTCCCATCCCCTGCTCACAGGTCTAAATTTTCTATTGGAAATATGGTCCTTTAAAATTAGGGGAAGATAAGTGGAAATTAATGGAAAGATAAAGATGTGAAACCAACCTGAGAAATTAGGTAGAGCATCAGCCTGACCTGATCAAATCTAGGAGCTCGTACACAAAGGAGAGAGGTAACCACTCTTTGTCTAGGTGCTGGGGACACTGAAAGCAAAATGAAAAAAGCAGTGATACTTTGTTTCAAGAATAAGAAAAACCAGATGAGCTAAAAAATACTTAAACCTTTGAAACATTTTGCATTTTATTGTAAAGAATCCTATAGCAATACCCAGAAGAGTTCTACTTGATTCATGCTTCACAAACGAGCTAGGTGAAAAATGTAAAACTAAGCTGATACCTGAACTTTTTAGTCAAACTTGACGGCCACTAGTGATACTGGTTTCCATTCACTAGAATGTTCCATTTCAGATTCCTGAAGACTATTACCATTAAATTCTAGAAAGCAAAATGTTGATACAGCAGTTATCCTAAAAAAAAAAAAAAAAAAAATTTTTTTTTTAGCTGTTTCAAGCACCACTGTGTGGTAACTTTGTTGGACATGAGGAAGTGGCTTCTCAGTAAACCTCTTCAACACCTGAACTTTCTTTTTTTTACTGTTTTGATGGAACTCTTCCTAAAGTGCACTTTATGCCCAGCTACCTTTTAAAAACAAATTATGATCATAGCATGTAGTACCCAAGCCATCATGAAGAGATGCCACCATGAAACAGTGCATGTTACGGAAGCCCCTGAGAGTTTTGTGGAACCACTTGCCTGTCCCTAAATGACTCCAAAGCAATCAACTAGATAACTGAAAACCTGAAAAAAATTCTTCATTATGTAGCTCCTTTGAAAAAGTCTCTTTTACTACAATACCTGGAATTTCCTTCACACACACACACACACATTTGCCTTTGAAAATGTAAGGTGGTTTTCATGAGATATAGTAGATATTTGCAACTTGTGCCTACTTCAGTTTGAGTCAACTCAGCTTTGTAAAAATGGTTGAGAAATTTCCATTCCTCCTGGAGCTTTTAAAAATGGTTTTGTTGGAAACCATTATAATCACTATAAAATGCTGTGGAGAAAAAAGTTGAGACTGCCTGTAATTTAACTTATTAATAAATGCAGTGTTGATCTCTATATCCGTTTATACAAGAAATTCAAATCTAGCAGCTTTGGAAAACTGGGAGATTTGAACTAATAACCAGAAGGAGTTTTTTATTCTTGAATTTATTCACACTGTTCCATACTCACTATAGATAATAAGTGAGATTCAGTTAGCTTATGTAATAACACAATTCTCCCAAGTTTTAGAAATTGATGCTTATTAATTAATTGTGGCTTAAACATACATGAAATTCATACTGAGATCAGAGTGGGTGTATATCACCAGGTGATGCCTTTCTCCTCATTAGGCAGTGTTACTGAGATCTTTGTAAATGGAACCCAGGAAGGAATTTTTTCCTACCTAGACTTTTTTTTTCCTTTTTTTTTTTTTCCTTTTTTTTCTTGAACAATATATTCAAATACTCCCATTATTATTTTATTTGAGTGACTTTTTAGAGTTAATGGCCCTCATAGATGTAGTTGTGATATTTGCATTTTAAATTAAATGTGCTTTTTTTTTTTTTTTTTAAGATTTATTTATGCAAGCTTGAGGTGTGGGGAGTGAGAGGATTCACCAGAGACAGAGTGAGAAGCATAACAGGCAGACCAACTGAAATACACTGTTGAGGGGAGCAGCGGGCGAAACAGGAGAGATCTGCTGCGCCATGTAGGTTAGCTCCCTGTCCGAGAATTGAGCTCATGCTGCAGTGGCTGTTGATGGCTTCATAGTGCTGAGACTTAATCCCTTATACCACCAGGGAGACCCTAATGTACTATTTTAAAGTGCTTACAATTTAGGAAATTTGTATGTCTATCTAGGAAGGATACAAGTGATTTTTTTTTCCCTGTGAAATAATTGGGTCCTTTTCTTAACTTTGGAGTTATGATGAATCGAGTGGTGTTCGACATGTACGTAGAATGTTTCACCCTGGCCGAGGACTAGGAGGTCCTCGCGCTCGTAGATCAAACATGCACTTTACTAGCAGTTCTACTGGTGGACTTTCTTCTTCTCAGAGTTCATATTCTCCAAGCAATAGGGAAGCCATGGATCCTATAGCTGGTAAGTTAGTTCTACATTAATAAAGGAAATGGTGGGAAAGGGAGTTTCCCTTTAAAAATTTATGACATCTAGTTTTAGTCTAACTCTCATCATACTCTTATATTCCTTCACAGAATTCCCCCAAAATTTATAAATATGAAATATTCGCATTTCTGTAAGTACTTAGCAGCATAACATGATAAGAAATAGTGTATGTTCTGTTTGTGGTCTCATTGAATCCCAAGAAAGTCATAAAAGATTTTAGAGTTCAAAGGCCTCCCAAGGTGGATGTTTCAACCTCCACATGTACCCAGATAAAGAAACTATTTGATAAGACTAAAAAATTAAGCTTTTCTCATGGAAGAAAATAAAGTAGAAATTTTGCTGTCCTTGCCTGGGTTTGAGAACTGTATTATTGTGAAATTTACTAAAGAGTACATGTTTGAATATCTTTGGAAAATATGACTAAGAACAATAACCTTGGCATGTAATCTTGTTGCCAGGTCACCAAGTCTAATGGATGGCCAGCCTAAGATAGCAGTAGAGCACTAGGGTTGGCAGTTAAAATAAAATGCCAAAAATCACTGTAGCCTGAGAATCTGAAAGACACACCAGGCACAGACAGTAAGACTGGGAAGCCTGTATGTTCTGGTACATGCACATGGTAGACTGTGCAGCCATGTTATGCCTTGCAGTGTAAATCTGTGATAGGGACTTGGAACAAATAAAATATTCTTTATGAGATATAACAGTGTAAACCTTAATTCCAGATGTGCTTCGGGCATTTGGGTGTGCGATAAGCTTAGCAAACTGAGTTTTGGGGATTTTAAAAAGTAATTCCTCATCTAAAAGGGATATTTCTGTTCTCCTTGGTAGCAGACTCTAAAAAGTTAATTTCCAGGAGCAGAACTCATAATTGAGAGATTCTCTCCATTACCTCAATTTTTTCATCAGTGAAAACTATTTTAGAGATAGTGTAAGAAAGAATGGTATAAAAACCCTGAGGTAGAGCCACAATGAGCAAGAAAACAGAACCTTAACCCCACTGATGAATTTTATAATGAGCATTTAGTAGCCTGGGAATGTTTACGAGGCAGCCATCAATTCCTTGCATGCTAGGAAAAGCCTTTGAGTGGGAGAAGGCAGTTCCTACACCTGACTTAGATGTGAATGCAGGATAACGTCCACATTGCTCTTTATGAGTATGACCTTACTGAAACAAGAGAGTCTGTATCAAAATAGGCCACTAAGTGGGCTGTCCAGTCAAAGAGCCAGTCATCTTTACTTAGGGGCATTGCCAGTGGTGCTCACTGCAGTGGTCCTTTGGTACTTGAACTGTAGTACCAGAAAGTACCATAGAAGGCAGGAGTGTGCAGGGGTCACAGAAATACTCCAAGTCTCAGGTTTAATTCTAATCATTTAATCATTCAGTTGGTGTTTGAGTGCCTGTTATATGTGTAGGACTGTTCTAAGAGATAGGAATAGCATAAACAATAGACTTGACCCTTGCTTTCTAGGCACGCATGTTGAGAGGCCTTATATTAGGGTTGGAACTAGATGAACCATTTTAATCTACTAAAATAATTAGAAAGTGTAAGTTACACAAAGCAAAGAATTTTAAAAACAATCTGTTACAATTTGCTTAAAAATAATTGTGTGTGGGTTACTAGCCATACATGTTTGCATTTCCCATAAACAACAACTGCCCCAGGAAGTGTTGAGCTCCAGGCTGAAACTTTATGCTGCCTTGGTTACCTAACAGTCCTTAATGTTCCTGTTACCAGTGAAAGAGTCATCTGTAACATTTGTTTTCATCAGTATTTAAGTAGACTTTAATTGTCTTCATTTCCATTGGCAGAGCTTTTATCTCAGTTATCAGGAGTGAGACGTTCTGCAGGAGGACAGCTTAATTCTTCTGGCCCTTCCGCTTCTCAGTTACAACAACTGCAGATGCAGCTGCAATTAGAACGGCAGCATGCCCAGGCAGCACGGCAACAACTGGAGACCGCACGCAACGCAACCCGGCGTACTAACACAAGCAGTGTCACCACTACAATCACACAATCCACAGCAACAACCAACACAGCTAACACAGAAAGCAGTCAACAAACTATCCAGAATTCCCAGTTTCTTTTAACAAGGTAGCTCATTTATTGACAAAACTTTGAGACGTAATGTTTATTTGTCCTGTGAAGTCTGAAATGATCTTTACTCCTTTGTGCTTAAATTCTTAAAGACTCTGCCTTTGATAAAATATTTAAAAACTCAATTCTAATCAAAACTGCATTTCAGTATTTCTTCAAGAATATGAAAAGTAATTATTTTAAATAAAGTAGGGATATAGTATATCATCACCTAATACGAATTTCTTTTCCTTTACTGCCTATAAAATTTAAACACCAGATCACACATATGGGACATATTAGGTAAATTTATTATCATATTAACATTTTCTTTTTATTACCAATTTTCTGTGAAATATAAAAAGTATAAGAGTGGGGATTTTATAATACAGGAGTGGTTTCCTAGAATTTCGAAGGAAGCAGGATTTAAATTCTTGTGGTTGGTACACAGAAAGTTAATATTTTAACAAATGGTTTTCCATGGTGTAAGTAAAATTCACTGTGCACAATAACTAGCTTTACTGGATGAAGTGGAGTTCTTATTTGCTTTTGAAACTACCATTAGCACTAAAATATGTTCCTCATACACATTTTATATGACCTGTAAGAATATAAAGGATTTTAGAAAGAGCAATAATGAGTAGACACTTAAGCCTAAGTGGTAATAATGAACCTGAACTGATTGGAGCTTTCAATGGAACAAAGAGAATATAAAGTAAAAACTGTAAAATGAAGATTAATGTAATAATACATCATTCTAAGGGTAAAACTCTTCCTTAGATCTATAACAAATGATAATGGGCCTTTACTAGATGCCAGGTACTGAGCCAGACCATACACAGATGGTCAATTAGATGTTAAAAGAAAATATTTCTGTGTGTTTTTCTTTTATCTCATATTTTTTAATAGCTTTTTTAGCACAGTGGTACATATGTGTAATTATAAATGACATTGTATTGAAGAATAAAACATATTTGCAGGCCCCAGTAAACAGGATTCCTGGTAACAGCTCTCCCTCTTATTAGTTTAAGCCTTAGGCAAGTCACTTCACTGCTCCAAGCTTCAGTTTTATTATCAATGTCCCATGAGCTTTGTGTCATGAGAAAGAGACTTGTTTTGAGGATTAAATGGAAAACAAGTATGTGTATGGTCTGGCTCAGTACCTGGCATCTAGTAAAGGCCCATTATCATTTGTTAGGTATCTAAGGAAGAGTTT